GTCTCAATATTAGATAAAACTAATCTTATTTGACAAATAACACTAAATTCTACTTTTTAGTAGAAAAAAAAACAGCTGTAAAAAACAGCCAGGACTCAACAGATACAGTATGTGTGAATAAGTAGGTACACCATTAGTTCCACCATCTCGATTAAGAGGGTATGCAGAATCAGGTACACCAAAACAGGCACAAATGAACAGTTGATCATCAGGAAGTGATTCTGTCTGGCCTCAAGTACTCAGGTTTGCAGTAACATATTATTCCCAAATCAAAAGTAATCTGTGACAATTCTAGAGAAAGAAATGTTGCTGTTTATCAGTCTGGGAAGGGTTACAAAGCCATTCCTAAACAATATGAACTCCATCATTCCAAGGTAAGGAAGATAATCTACAAAGGAAGAAAATCCCAAAACAACTGCCTATCTACCCAGGAGTGACTGTATTACCAAAGTCACTCCAAAATCTGACAACACGATGCTCCTAGAAGACTAAAAGAACCCCAAGGCTTCATGGATCCTTTGTCAAGAAGAAATCCCTGCTGCCCAAGAAGAACATTGCTGTTTGGCTTAACTTTGCAATACAGTACTTGAATGAAAATCAAGGATGTTTTTCTGCTCTGGACAAATGAGTCAAAAGTGGAATTGCCTGGCCAGTATTTAAAACATCATGTTTGGAGAAAACCAAACACTGCCCCAGACCAGAAGAACCTCATACAAACCATCAAGCAAGGCTGAGGTGGGTGAAGATTTGGGTCTGCTTTGCTGCCTCAGGACCTGGACACCTTGATACCATTTAGTCTACACATACCACAAAGTCAAATATGTCTAAATAAATAACCATAAAATTTCCAAGGAGGAGTACTTTTTTACCACACTGCATCTTCTCAAGTCATTTAATCTCTAAACCATTAAAAGACTCCACTGTCAGGTCCAGGGTAACACTGTGTTGACAGGGATAGCAGAAGGACAGGGAGCCCATCCATGACCAGGAGGTGATTGTGAGTGTTTTACGACCCCAAGTGTCTAGAGGTAAAGGGGTGTAATATTTAGGATTATTTTTGGATACAGGTGGGTTCTGGTGAGGGACTAGGAAGTGTGTCAACAAAGGTTGGTGCAACAGTGATTATTTTAAGGTGAATAAGTGACTGGTACGTAATAACACACAGTGAAAAGGAACTAGAGTGGTGCCAAAGGAAATAAAATACACACAAATGGGGCTGGCTAAGAAAGTGAGGGGAAGCTAACCTGACTACAAAAGAAAACCTGAAACACTCTTTGGCGTCTTCAAACACCCTAGCTAACCTTTACTGACTACCCAAAACCATACGAGACAAAAGGCACTCACCTCTACTAAACAAGTGTTACTAATATAAAAAAACAACTATGTGTGCAAAATGCACCCAACAACCTAAACTAAACACAAGAGCTCACACAAATACACAAGTGAACTACGAATACCAAAGGGAAAACGAGAGTAGACACAAGTAACAGGGTACAAAAGAACACAGAGGTTGATGCAATATGTTTGGGCAAGGTAATGGCTAAACAAGGATAAACACAAAAAAGTACAAAGAGATGAACATAAACCAAGAAAAGCTGAAGCTATACGAAAACATACACGAACAAAGCGAAGCCAAAGCAAAAACCAAAAGCAAAACAAAACCAATGCCGAGCAGGACTAAAATCAAACAAAAGGCCCCTTCCTTCTGAAAACCTCCAACTGAGATAATGTACTGAATAATCTGCGTTCTGATTGGCCGAGGGTTAATTGAAGATGATGTCACACAGAAACAAGATGTAATGATGGACCAACGGGGGAGGGAGAACAATAAAGGTCAGGAAGTAACAGTGAGAGAAGTTGCAGGAAGGGTTTGGTCAACAGTGCTGATCCTGTTGAGGAGAGGCCTGTGACTGGAGGCATGGCAGAAGATGAAAGCTCCAAGGGAGAAACCAAAATTATGGAAACAATCCTTTTTAGTCTTCCGACACCTGCAATAGCAACAAAAAAAAACCTTACCGGTAAAGCTCCTGGGGGAGGTGAGGTGTCTGGTGATTAACAGCTCTGCACAGGCGCTCCACTCCATCTTTCCCAGACACAGGAGTGCGTCTGGGGAGGCTGCAGCTCTGGGCCCAGCATCTGTTCTCAGTTCAGCGGCTGGCGAACATTTGGGAAGAGTAGTAATGTACTGAGAGGCATTAAAATAATTTGCAACAGTAATACTTATGGGTGGAATACAGGGTACACTGCACGAACTCTAGTGTACTGTAAAGATAACTGAAAAAATACATACTACTAAATACCAAAAATAAAGATGGGGAAAGTAGTTATTTTTTTTGTCCTGTCAGAGGATGACATGGTTTTGTAAAACAAATTAATACAGACACAAGCAGATTTTGGTGAAACAAACATGCTGTAATGTTGTCAGTTGTACAGCAAACAGCAAACTATTGTACTTACTGGATAATGGGTTTCTGCTAATTAGACAAGAATAATTTCTTGATTCTGTAAATAGTTGAAACAAATGAAATTAAAAAGTAAATCGACTTTATTTTTTGAGACATGTCAAAGGGCACCAGACCTGGTTGACTGACATGGGCCTCAGGCTTCTCAGCTACGTGAGGTTTTGAGCACACAACACCATTGTAAGAACATCATACCTTGAACTCTTTTCTTTGTACGGTCATCTACTGTAATTGTCAGTGGAAAGGACAACCTTTTCCATTGGAAGCAGAGACATTGGATTTGGTAATAAGCATTTTGACATTTTGTAGAAGACTTTACATAAGAAGCATGACACGAATGCACTTTTTTAAAGGTCATAGTAAAGAGAGGTTATTTTCAGGATGAACCTAATGTGCCCTTTAAGCACTATAGTTACTCATTCATCCCTTGGAGTAGTTGGGTAGGTGTGCTTTTTCACACAGATAAGTGGGACCACAGAACCAACCTGAACTTTTTGCAATCAGAACAGTACCAGCTTTGTTGTTTCAAGTATGTTCTGTGTGCATCATCACATCTCAATGAATGGAGCTTACTGGCAACACGTTGTCACAATGCGGTTCTTGGGAGGAGCCACGGCAAACACCAGTAAAAGTCAGCAAAAGAGGGGGGAAAAAAAGGAAAAATAAAAACACACTGCTTGGAACAGCAGGATCCAGACTGGAAAAAAAGGACAGCGAGACCTGAAAACTCAGCCTGCCCTGGTGAGGACACACGGCAGGACAAGAGGAGAAAAAGACAACAATAAGAAACAAAAAAGACGACCTTACACTCTTCCTCCACAATCCCCTCCGAGACTGTTGCTGTTATCTTCTCCCCTTGCGGGGGTCCAGGACTAGAGTCCTACTAACTGATCCTTTGGGGAAGAGTTCAGCATACTCCTGAACGGTTGTCCAAAATTAACCGCCTCAGCTGTGGTTATCAAGGTAATGCGTCACCCTTAGATGAGGGCTCCGCCTCCATACTGAACACGCTCCTCATAATGCCACAATGTGTGTTACATACCAATGACCACAGTGGAAGCCTGTTAAACACCATATTTTAATATTTCACTGTTTTACCTGCAAAGATCCCAGTCGCTCCTCTTCACTCCTCTGTGTTCCAAGAGTGGGCAGTTCCAAATGGGCAGTTCTACGATACATCTGTGGAAGTCTTCAAATTGGCTGCTTCACATGCAAAGTCATGCCAGGCATCTTCTTAAGATGTTTTTGTACTGTAGCAATCATGGAATTCACCCAAAACTACAATTGTTTCATTTACCAGAATGCATTGGTTTTTTTGATATACAGTATAGAACATAACACATTCAAAATTAATAAACTACAGACGTTAATAATAATAATAATAATAATAATAATAATAACTTAAAGCATTTTTAAATTAATCTGATTATCAGAAAATGCTGTCATAGATCAGGTAAATTTTGTGTGACCACTCTTTTACCACAAATGTGAGTTATTACATGGCTGCAAACATATTTCATTACTTGACGACAAATTGCATCATATTTGGTTTGCAGTAGTTTTCTCTTTCATGTGATCTGAGATCACCTTCAAGCAAAGTGAAATCTCCATGGGATCACAAGTAAGAAAAGTCCAAGATGAACACACAGGTCTTCATCTTTCAAAAACTAACCTTCAGTGAGTAAGGCTAACCCAACTGTAATGGAGTGTATTTGATTTGGGACCTGAACATGTGTGCCAAACAACATACAGTAGTCTGGTCAAAAATCTAATTAAGGCAGAGAAGAGGAGTGATTGGAATAGCAAGGTTTGCTGGGCTGAAACTGGCTGAGGAGTAGAGCACCCCTTTGAATGAGGGATGTGCCAGAGAGCTGCTGCAAGGGTGAAGTTGGGATGGAAGAGGGGTGTGAAAACAAAATGTGCAAGAAGCATAATATTTATATGTAGTTAGATGTAAGTATGCAAGATCACAGTTTGAACCCTCACCCACTTTTGTTTAAAACTGAGGTAAACAATTTCATGAAAATCCATCCGTTTTTTCACCTCTTTATCCAGCTCAGGGTCGGAGCCTATCCCAGCAAGCAATGAGCGCAAGCTAGGATACACCCTGGATAGAACATCAGTCTATCATAGGGTGGATACCTCTTAAAAAAATGTAAATATTACATTTACAGTACTGCATGTTAGTTGCTTGATTTTTTTGCTCTGTGCAATTAAGAAGTCATGCTTTTGGACCTTAAATGCATGTTTTCTTTGGACTTCTTACCCATAATAGGCCTACAGTATTGCACTAAAGTAAAAACTTGATCTGTTACTTGTATATCACAGAAGACACTATATGCAACATCTGCACACTGTCAAATGAAAGGGTAGAAAATGTCATGTACTGACATTTATTTTTTAGTGGGGTAGCAACCTTTAATGTTTTTTTTTTAATAATCCCATGGAGTAATGGTGAAGTTCAATGTAGCCCAGGTGCTGGTTGAAAATGAAGTATTTCTTTATAGACACGAAGAGATTATATTAAAATGATATGAATAAAGATTTATTTTTATGTGAACAGGTGGTTTGATATCTTTTTTATTTTACAAGTATTTAAGACAATCTCGCAAAATCTCTAGCATATTCCAAGAATGGACATGAGAAAAGGGATTTATTGCTGGATGTTAAATTAAATACACTTTCACTAACTGGAAAACTTTTCAGTTGCCACTTCACCATGCATCCATCTATTTGAATTGCCAAGGACATGCAGAAACGAGGTGATCTTCTGTTAAAAAGGGCCAAGCTACAGAAATAAAAGAACCTGCAGGATAAAAGAGTAAGAATTCCAAATGGGGCTTTTTCACATGTGAACTAACTAGAAGCACCGCCTTCATTGCATCAAATCCAACTCAATCAGAAAAGAAAAGTTACAAATTTAAAATCCCGGATTTCTGCTATGAGACATTAAAGGAAAACAATTTCTAATCTAGGATATAGAACCATTACACCATTAACACTGTGTCTCTCATTAAAGCAGTTAAGTAGGACTTGCTTATATGCTTAGTTCTGAGAACTGTGGTTTTATTTTGTTAAATCAAAAGAGTCGCCTTTGCAATCGATTTGATCTGAAAACTGTGTTGCAGAATTATTAATAATATTTCACATTACATCTTTATTTTCCTGTATGACATATAAAAATGCAATGCCAAAATATGCTCCTCTTGAAGTATTGCAAACCTACAAAGTTCTATGTTTTCCTTTGTTTCTCTCCATGGAGAATGGATGAGGGTTTCTGGCAGCTGTCCCACCAGAAAGCTTCAACACGATCACAGACACAGCTCGTCACTCTCATGCGACTGTTTAACTGATGTTATTGCTGGTCACACGCTACTGCCAGCAAAGCCAGATGGATCAAAGAATATTAGCTAATGACTGTGATTATTAACATATTCGAAAAGGTTGGCTTTATGCTGAAAACACAAAATAAACATCTGCATATATACGTTAAAGAACAAAGGTATCCAACCTTGCATAATTTTTACACCTTTATGGTAATAACAATAAAGATAATGTATATAATCTATAATTTATTTTGTAACTCTGAAGGGGAGAGTATTTTTTTAACTAATTAACCAGGCTAATGCATTTTCAGAAGTCTAGCTCAAGATCCATTAAACATTTCAGAATTTAAAAATCACACAGAGGACTATAATACTAAAGTATTACCAAAAGTTTTGAAATAGAAAATGGCTTGCTGACATAATACTTGTGATAATAATTCAGTCAAGTCAACAAATAAACAAACAAACAAAAATATACATAAATATGTTTGCATATTTTGGCATTATTGACAATGTTGCACAGCCTGGACTTGTATGATTCTACAAAGAAGGCCTCAACATGAGTTATCACACGTTCTGTGTAAGAAGGAATGATTAATCATAAAATAACAATTGGAATCTGCATTGGAGAAGTAGGAGTCCTGTCAATCCAACCCTCCTGGGAGTCTCATGATGGTGCCTGGGAAGCAGCCCAAACTGCCCATGAGCCTCAACCAGCTTGTTAGCCTTCTGAAGGAGCAATTGTGCAATGTCTCATCATGCCCATGAGAATTTAGTGCCAGTTGTCGGTAAGAGGGCTAAGTTCTGATCGCAGCTAAAGGTGGACCTGCACCCTCAGTGAAAGCCCCTGACACATGCTCCGCTATTGCAACCACTATTAATGTTTTTGCACTGGGGATCAAAGATTTAAAGAATTTAGGATAATACTTCACAGACCGCAGTCAATGAAAATGAGAGGTTTCTCTACACCAGCCCATGAGTTTTGGCAAAGAGCACAACCATAAAACAAGACTGTCACTTATCTGTAATGTACAGCTAAATAACCTGCAGGGTATGATGGCAATATGCTTCCATTTCTCAACCCAGATTAGCATGCAGTTTTAGACAGAGAAGTGACTGGCATCATTGCACGTCTGCTCTCTTCTGTTTATGTTGAAACCCTTGCAATTTTGGGCAGCGTAATATTACACCACTTGTTGGTTTGACACTAAATAAATGACATGCTCATTCCCTCCAACCCAAATAAACACAATTCTTTACAATGTCAACTTTGAATTATAAAAACTGATAAACATGTCTGTGATTTGTTTTTCATGTAAACATACACTTTATGCAGAAGTGAGTTATACTGTATGAGAGCTTAACCAACATCTATGGATAATACAGTTCAAATCAGAAAACAAATCCCAGATAACAGATCCAGAAATAAAATGTCTATAAAAATGATGAGTTCATATTAGAAAGGCTACAAAAAACTCAACTGGAACTCTGGCATCAGCATACAGCAAAAGGCACCACAATATTATTCTATTTTTTAAGTCGTGAAAAAATTGGCACGTTTTTTAAGCTGTAAATCAAAATTTACATATAAATAGAGTTTTCCCTATAAAAAAAGTCTTTGCTGTTAGCTAGTAGACAACTTTTGCTAAAATGAAAATAAATATTTCATTTGTTTAGAATATCTGTCTGTTATATAAAATAAAAATATTTCTTATAGGTGCAGGTCTATAATATATATTTGTTGGTTGGTTTTTAAAGGGGTGCATTGTCTTGTTTTGACCTCGAGTGTGTTAGTCTGGTCTGTAAATTCCCACGAGTGTTGTGCCGGCCCGATGAATAATAAGTCCTGCTGTCAGCCGGTCTGTATATGGTGGACGGCTCTGTGTTCACCACCATGTTCATGTTCTGCATACTCAAGAAAGGCGTGCTTTCACTCGCCTGCTCCTCCTCCGAATCGCTGTCGGACACGCAGCTCCGCGAGCTGTAGTCCCGCATTGCCTCCCCGCGCTGTGAAATGTGCCCGTTGAGTTTGGATTTTCTCCACCGCCTGCTGTTGCTGACAGTTCTCTTTGGTTGCTCGAGGGCGGACAGGTACTCCTGTGTGGTTTCGTACTCGTCGTCCTCCACAAGCCGGAAGGGGCTAGAGGGCAGGCTGCCCGTGCTGTCGTTCAGGTAGCTGCACCTCTGCTGCCGGTACGCCTCGTGCCTCTGGATGTCCTGCAGGGGCACCTGGTACCGGCGCAGCAGGGGCAGGTCGTCCTCCACGCGGTAAGCAGCAGGCGCGGCGGGCGGCAGCGAAACTGCATGGCTGGAATTGGGCGACGTGATTTCAAAAGTAGGCACCTGTGTAGGCAGTGAGTAATGGAAGTCCACAGGTGAGAGGCGGGCTGGTGTCGTCAGGGCTGACACGTACCTGCGAGAGAGGGATCACGCACACAGATTGATCACCAGATCCTACTCCATTGCCACTTGCCAGACCAAGGACCTGGCTTCCCTTAGAGGCCCACAAGATCAGGTAAGCAAGGATCCAGAAAACTGACTAATATCAATATTGAACATACAGAGTGGAGATACAGTAGCTGCACAAATGTCTACTGCTGTTGTACAAAGCTACTGTAGTAGTGTTCTACTAAAAATTGTTTAGCTATTTAAATGCTGTTTATTTGAACCACATTTCTTCCTTATCATTATGAGCAGGTTTCAGGTTACTTTGCATGCTTTAGACACACGTCAGTGCTTGGTCACTCCCTATCAAGCTGCACCAGGAAAAGGGACTCCGTGTTCTGCAACACATGGGGATAGACATGTCTGATGTAGGGCCAAAAGAATGGTGAAGACCAATTTTAAGATTCAGGATTTTTTAAAAATTAAAATATCTTGCAAAAGAAGGTGTGTTTTGCACAATCATGTGCAACACATTTGTGTTTACATTTACTAAACAAGATGCTTAAAATGCTCTTATGTTTTGGTACTTCAGCAGCCAACTCAGTATTTTTGTAATGATACTGTGGTAGAAAAAGATTTTCTGACCCAATTAAGAATAATTGTTTCAAAAAACACTGAAAAATTGGATATGATTCCAAAGGCACATCTTTTTAAAACACATTTTGAATAAGAATAAAATAAATTTATAGAGATCTTAGCCCTGAGCAAAACATACATTGTTAATGATGTACGGTACAGTAATTGGTTAATTTCAACTCTAAAGAACACTGCTGACTGGGTCCAAACATTTGTGGGGCTTAAATAAAATTCAGTTCAAAACTTAACTTACAGACACAGAAACCTTTGGATATAGAGCAAAGTATGTTGAAGCCAGTGCTGAACAAAGTGTGAGGTTAATTTCCCTATAGTTTAATTGCTAGTAAGATTTTGTCCTGTCCCACAATTGTATTCTGTTTAGAGATAGACTGTCCTCATTACCTCTGTGGCACCTGGACCTAAAAGCAGTTCCAGCACATTTGCTGAATTGTACTAGAAATCGTCAAGATTTCTGAAGGTGTGGCACATGAATCAGATACAGTCAATAATCAAAATAGCAAAAACCCACATTTAAATGAACTCTGTTTTGCCTGAAGAGCATAAGACAGACTTCTCATGCATTTCCTGGCTGGAAAAACCCATCCATCCATTTTCTAACCTCTTTATCCAATACAGGGTCGTGGCCAGTAAGTGCACATCCTTTGAAGTCATCTTTCAGAGTGCCTCGGTAGTGTTTATTAAGTTCTCTTTCAGTTATTTAGGTTTTCACCTGCCCTGTTCCCAAGGACATTGTGGCACCTTCATGCTCCTAAATTACTTTTCTTAGCACAATATGAAAACATACTACTTAGCTCTGTGACTTCCTTTTACTTGCGGCGGCAATTTCCCGTGGGATGCACAGTTTAACTGACATGGGAGAACAAGAACAACACAGACAACTTCACATGTTTTAAGAAAACAGAAACTTAATAGATTAATAGATCACACCTGCTAAAGCATTCAAATCTGACCATCAGATCTACATTGCTGCCCCCTGTATTCTATGGTACTGTGAGTATTTAAATATACACATTAAAATCTATGCATTTGAAAGATTTAATTGCAAATGTAAAATAAAAAGAAAAATGTGAAAAAAAAAACAATTAGAACAGCAGGATGTAAGTTGACTGCTTTAGGTCTGCTACATTTTAGTGATAAGGTTAACATTGAGACCTCAAACTCAAATGCTGTTTCCTTCCAATATAACTTCAGTATTTTTTAAGTACTGTAAGTGGTAATGCATACTGCAAAGTGCAAAGGCATTTTCATACTTCATATGTTTGTAGAGTGAACCTGTTAATTTAGTCTAAGGCTTTAATATAGAAAATACAGAACTGATTTTATTTTTAATCTTAATTTTAAGTCATCAAATGCTTGCCATAGTGCGTGCCAATGATTTACTGTAGTATCAGTGACAATAGAGCAATACCGTACAATTTCTATTGAGCCTTTGGACTAAAACCGACATTTCTACAGAGACCTTTAGGCTATTTTTTGAAATGGGTGCTTTACCATATCCACATCCAACAATGCTTTATGGTGAGTAATAGTGGTGGTGTACTGATCTGCTCAAGAAAAGTAAACTTTGTGAAACGATGCTGCACATTGGTGTCAGTGAAATCAAAAGTTAGAAAAGTTTATTGAATTTAATACATTTGCAAGAGCTTTTATCAACGGTTTTGATTGTTTTACACTCATACTCGTGGGTATGGGGAACATTTCAAAATCCAATGACTGATGGGCTTCAGTGAGATACTGTGGAATAGCACGTGTGAAACCCCAGTTAGGGTTCGGATTAGTATTCCCACACTACTTACATACTTTTTACACTCAGTGCTGGATTTTTTGGCATAAGTCAGCTTTAAGACGAGTGATAATTTGGTTCTGTCTGCAACTTTTTTTAGAGAGACTTTTGGCTGCCTGGATGGTGTGGTATGCCGTTTAGTAATTGTATCCCAAAATTCAGACAGTGGGATCAAAAGTTTTCAGAAAAGATGATTAAATCTAATAAATTGAAACAAAAATAAATAAATTGTATAAATAATATAATGATCAGGGGTCATGACACATGAAAATATCCCTACTACTTAAGCAACAGAGCCTAAGACCTGACGTGCTGCAGTGTGGTCCGATCACTCATCACCACTTTCCTTGGTTTTGCAAAGTGTAGAGCACTGAGGACCGGTACCTTGAAGTGACTGTGGCAGAAATAAGGAAATCAATTCTGCCAGTGACATATGTCCCTGTCTTTGGTATTCATTAGGAACCCGGAACCGATCAGGCTTCTCACACAGCTGTGGGTTTTTTCCAAAATTGCATGCCCTAACTATACGATCATCAACTTGAATCCATAGTCTGTTGTCTGTTTTACAACAGCTACAGACAAATCACATAATATTATGGTATTTGTTTGGTAAGCAGATTAATCCAGACTTGGTACTGAGGGAACAATTGCCTTGTTGTGAGAACAGGGGTTAAGGGTTAAGGGGTTTGTCCTACCTCTTGAAGGATTCCCTATGTAAGAACAGAATTGCTATTAAACCTTTCAAAAGCATTCCTCAGTGTCAAAAGAATGTCTTAATGTATACATCAAAATAACTTCAGTACCATAGAGGGTTAAATGATGCGCCAGAGTGTGTTCCCCACCTGTCACTGTGTGGTGAGTCTCTCAGTGAGTCGATGGAGTCCCTGTACTGCATCATGGGGCGGCGGGGGTCAGTAATGCCACAGTGTGCTGCACGCCGCGCCCGAGCTTCGATGCAGGCAGGACTGTTGCATTTACTGGTCCCCACTGAGGATGACATCATGCCAGAATGTGAGTCTGAAATAACACTCTCCGTCCTGTCCAAGCTCCAAGTGCGGTCTTCATGTCTGCACAGGAAAGCAAGAGGACTGTGACACCTCATAACAGCATACTGACCACTGCTTGCGCATGTAGACCTACAAAGCAAGGTGTGATATATATGACTTTTCCAATCAGGCTGTGAATAACCAAAAGTAACCATTCAAACTGACATGCTGGAGTGTTACAGCCCTGGTTCACCACAAATGCAGGTTACGTGGTCTCAAAAACAATAGGAGTTCTCTGTTTCTCACATGTAGGTCTTTGTAGGTCTGCAGTTCTGAGTCAAACCACAATGTATCTGGGCAGCGTCAGTCCCGGCAATGGCAATATATGCGGTACTGCTTAACTGCAAATATCTCTAATAAAAAGCATGGACAATTACATTCTACAACAAAGGTGTTAAAGTAAAGCTGAATTACAAGAGTGCTATATTTCATATAACAAAAAGGTCTTGTTTTTGAAGTTCCAGTTGACAGTCCACATTACAGTTTCAAAGTATAATCTAGTTTAGCTCACCATTAAAATTCAACTGTGAGCATCACAAGTCCATATTTATAAGATACTGAGAGGCATTAACAAGACAGCAAATGCTTTTTATTTGTTGCATTTCTAATGTTTCTAAGTATATACATATAGCACTCTATAGAATACTGTATCTGGATAATATTTTTGCTGGAGAAGTTGGGGGAATAAGAATCCCCCGATCTTGAAGGTGATGACTAGAATATTGCATAAAATGTAGCTGAAAGGTAACAACAAAAATAAATACACATCATGTGTCTTCACTGACATTCACTGCTATATAATGGCAGAATTATTCTCTGTACCAGAAATTACCAGAGTTACAGATCTTAAGCTCTTGTAATTCTCACCGAGGCAGCTATGACTGTTTAATTATAGATTAGACATTTCCATGCAAGCCCTGAATTCCTGAAGATGAATACATTACCTGTGACTGGATGTGTTGGTAGCTGTTGAAGAGTGATGAGACGTGGAGGAGGGGTGGCTGCCAGAAAACGAAGTCTCTGCCTCGTGACGAATCACCCGGTCAGTGGCTGGAACGTTTTTGGAAATGTACTGCAAGAGAAAGAGAACCCTGATGAGACAATTAGAAGGAAGTGCACGCAAACTCATCCATTTACCTTATTCCTTCTCATGGGGCACAGAGCAATGACTTTCGTTTTGAAAACTGTAACACAATGACACATGCTCACAGCATGGGCCCTCCTTTAATGTACCTTGAAAACCACTTAAAAGTCTGCAACAGCAATCATGTGGACATCAGTGTGGATTAGAGGTTGATATTCTGGGCTTGTAACTGCAAGGCTGCAGGTTCAAATCAGGTACTTCTGTTGTCTTCTCAAGCAAGTGTCCAGTCAGATCACTCCAGTAATGTACCCTCCTGTATAAATGGGTCTCCAGCTAGCCAGGTTGTCATTGTAAATCGACCTGACCAGGACTGGTGCTCAATTCAGTTACCCCATTCATAAACTGTGCCTTAACAGGAAGTTGCAAAAATAAGTGGAAATCTAATGGCAAAAGCTGAGGTGGAATAAATGGTTTTGGAAAATTTCACACTTTTGAAAAAGGTTTTTTCTTACTGTACAGCATATGCATTTTTAAATTGGAAATAAGCTTGAGCTGAATTTTAGAAATACACGGCATGTGGGAAGCCCAGCTGTCCACGATGTGTGCAGATCTGCCGAGCACATGATTTTCAGTCCTGTACAAACCCATTCTACCTGCCTTCCTAGACATCTTCGACCGGGAACTGAAGTTCATATTATTTGTAAACCAGTAACTTGTCTGATTAACACAAGATCTGGGTTTAAATAAAGCACCACTAGATCGGGAGACCTCTGTTTTTAAAATAGTTTTTTTAATGTTTTTTGGTGTTACAACATTGTATGAAACCTCAGTGAAAACAGACAAATAAGGAAAACCAAAGTTTTTGACCACTGATTTACTTGACTTCCTGATTAACAAAGTAACCAATGTGTAATCAATAAATGTAAGGTACTGTACATATTCTCTTTTCTACAGTATGTGGCTTATTAATTGTGTAAAACATGTCCAAAGGGATTACAATAATTTAACCTGCACATTATGTTTAAGTAAGAGGATAGACCCACTAACATTGCTGTGGAATCTCATCTCATCAGATCCCTCAATTCAACCTTATGTCCAGAGATCTTTACACTCCATTTTTTATCTCCTGTATTTCATTTTAGTGATTCTTTCAGGACACATTTTAATTAAGGTGCCACAAAGTAGATGTGTTAAGCATGAAAGACTGCTTAAATTAAATAAAACAGCTGAAGACAGACACAATTTGGCACATATTATGCATAATTTACATAATGCATAATCATCATGATGGTTGGGAAAGAAGCTCTCATTAGGAATTCAATATATAAATGCTAGCTGACGAGCATGCAGTTGTGTTGTTGTTTGAATTGTATACTAAACAGAGTGCAATTTTACTTCTCACTAAATTTGTAAAATCCTGTTTAAGCATCCTTCACACTGACTGATTAAAAATATATGTAAACAGACACAAAATAACCCTAATGGCTAAGGTAGGGGGTTTCTGCTGCTCCATTTCACCGTCTTTTCAGACAGAGGAAGGATAAAACAAGATTGAATCCCCTGAATCCTCAAATGTATCTTCCTAATGCAAACACCTAATTAACTCACTTCACCTCTTTGTTCTGTATTTACAGTAGCGTTTACTGTTTAACAGGGATATCTGTTAGAGGGACAACTGTTAGAGACCAAACATCAATAAAATATATTTTATTCAGTGTGTGTTTGTGACACAAAAATCACCATTTTCAATTACAATCTTAATAGCAGAAGTGACAGCCATGTTTCCTGATTGTACCTTCTTTGATATACAGGGGCACTGGTCCCAGATTTTGCGTGTATTTGGCCACATTTACATGATAATTAATGAATTAATCCTTCATTCCTTTTTTTGTGAGTTTTGTCAATTCAGTGATCTTAATAGAATGAAAAAACGAAAATAAAAAACCTTGAATACAAGATAGATGGTAAAGCATGTAGTAAATCATCATGGTCATCATCACAATCACCTCTATCATCACCATCATCATCATCATCAACATCACTATCATCATTGTCATCACCACCACCATCGCCATCACCATCACCATGAAGGCTGATGGAGTTGGTGATCGTGGCTGTGGCCGGACACGAGGCTGTGTGCACTCACATCCACCATGGGGATCTCCTCAGGACCAGGGCCGGGCCCTGGGTGGTTCGGCCCGTTTGCCAGGTTTCTGTTCTGGTGATCTGGGCACATATTCTGCCTCAGGTGGTTATGCATTTTCTTTCTTTGTTTCCTGCAGAAAAAAACACACATTGAGACATTTAGTCATCTAAGCCCACGGAAAACCATACTGCATGAACTCAGTGTTGTCAATTTTTATTGCTTAAATGAAAGAAAATAATCATGCATTTAAATCATTTAAAATACTTTATTTAGAATAAAGTAACAATATTAAATATACAGATATAATTTTGTCTGACATGAAATTGATCTGTTTTAAAATAATTAAATAAGCATGTCAAGGCTTAAAATTATTTATATTTCTGAAGCAATGGTGAACCCCCTTATACTATATGATTCATATTCACACTGGCAGAAATACTGCCATGTATCAAGTTTTCAACACTATCTACAGTAGATTCACACCTGTACACTGCAGATCTGCCTACAGCAGAAGATTTTACATCGCTTAGATGAAAAATCATAAACATTAATTAATCTGAAATATTTGTGTTTTATTTACTAGTAAAACACATTTCTAGTTAATTTCTAACTGTTTTTTGCAAAACCATACTACTTGAGTCAGCAGATCCATGCTTAACCTTACAGTTTGCTCATGAGCACAGGTGACAAAATGACTTTACAAGCTGTATATGACCTCTTTGGCTCCTTAACGTGGCAGTAAAAATATGTGCTTAAACACTGTGCCCAATAGCCTACAGCTACTTAGAATGAAAATATCTTAGAAATGTCTACAGTAATAAAGAAGCATCCTTAATTACATTATTCGCAGTATACTGAGAAATATTCTCAAGGGAGCCTTTTTACTATGAAATGCACTGCAAATGGACATTTATACGATACTGAGCAGCTATAATGACACACCATTTATCTTTGGATTACAACTTCTTTTGATGTACTTTACATCATTCAGACTATTAATAACACAATAGGTTTTCATTGAAAATAATACTATTAAAATAATAAAAGTAAAACTGATAACATACTACTATTTATATATAATAAAATAATACTGGTTTTGAAATGAAAGTTTAAAATTTATTGATACAAAATCATAAGTGCTTAAGTGTAGCATTCTAGCCTGCGATATAATATAAGTACCATATGTTCTAGAGACAGCAGTGAATGCCTAGGCCCTTACACTACAGGCAGTGGACAAAATAATGGAAACACTAAGTAATATGAGGATGTTTTTATAATAAGGAGTTGGGATGCCCATTGCTTTCAGAACAGCTTCAATCCTTACTCTAGTTTTGAACTGTTTTTAGTGGGATGTTGAACCATTCTTCAGGAAGAAAAGCCTCCAGTTGTGTGAGAGGTGAAGGAGGTGGAAATCTACTCTGGACTCTACATTTCAGAACATCCCCTAAAGGTTCAGTGATGTTTTGAGCTGGTGATGGGGGAGGCCATGGAAGAAGTTTGGCTTTATCCTGGCGTTCATGAATCCACTTTTGAATATGATTAGCAGTGTGCATGGGGGTGCATATACCGTCATGAGGTACTAAGTTGAGTCAGAAGAGTTCTGAAAAAAGGTTTTATGGACAGATGGGAAAGAAAGGAACCACATATATTCCAAAGAACAAAACCTTATGTGTGAAGTATAGCCTGGCATGGGCATGAATAGATACTTATGGACCTGACTCACTCATGTTTACTGATAATGTAACTAATGATAGAAGCAGAACGAATTCCGAAATTTACAGAAACACCTTGTCTGCTTATCTAGAAGAAAGTGCTTCCAATATGATTGGATGGTGCTTTACCATGTACTGTAGCGTGACAGTGATTCAAAACATGTGGCCAATGCCAAAGAAATTTTTCAAGAGAAAATAAAAGTGGAAAATTTGAGACAGACCAAATCAATTTCCAGACTTAAATAAAGCAGCAATTTACACACCAAAGAAAAAAGTGAAAACACTATATGAATAGGCACAAAAATCAAACTGGCTGCACTAAAGAGTTGGCAAAGCAAATAAAATGATCATGCAAAGGTTTTGGTGTGCTCTATAAGATGCAGACTTCATGCAATAAATGCATCAAAGGGAAATGCAACCAAATAATGATTTTTACTGTACACTCTGAAAACAAATCATGGCCTCCTAATAATCCCCATCTATGAATTGGCTTCATTCCTCTGCTCTCCTCCTCACTAATAGCTGATGTGTGGTGAGCGTTCTGGTGCACTATGGCTGCCGTCACATCATCCAGGTGGGGCTGCACATTGGTGGTGGTGGAAGTGTAAAGCGCTTTGAGTGGAGTGTCCAGAAAAGCACTATATCAGTGTAAGCAATTATTATTATTATTATCAGCTGGTGGGTCAATTTAACTATCAATTATTATCAGCCTAGTTATTTTATTGGAAATATTTCCAACTTTTTATGTAAAGCTTTTTCATTTAGAGCTTCACTCCCAAAAGAACTTTGTGATAAAGAGATCACTGTAGCCCACTGTGAAAAAGGCATTTCTCTGAACTTTTTCATCTCCATTGCTAAATACTCATGCACATAGTTTTTTTATGTTCAGCTTCATTCAAACTGCTGCCAACTCTTCAAAAGTACTTTTTGCACTCTTACTTTTCATAGTGACTTTGGTTCAAGAAATTTGCCAAATAAAACATGGCATTTATTCTATTACTTCACAGAGCTTATGACGGAATATTAGATGGGGGTTACTCTGGCCTAAAATCAACCACTGCAGTCCCTACACTTCATATACTTACAGTACTTGTGAGAAAAAAAGTAATTGGTGCTGGTAATTAAACTTGTTAAATACACATGGTGACCTGTGTCATATGCAATTAAAAAAAATAAAATGTAAATAAAAAAAAACAGAAATATAGGAGTTTTTCCTTCTTAAAATTAGTAAAAGCTAGCAATGTCTCTCCCATGTATGTTACCGTAAGAAATGAAATCAAGAACATGGACAGAGCTGGAGAAACTCAGTTTAAGACCAAACCAGATGGCTAACAGATTTCAAAGAAACATGACTGCACGCGCAGAAATGACTTACTTGGTTTTGCAGTAAGCGACCACACACACAATCCCCACGACGAGCAGAGCCACACATATCCCAGTGATTGTCAGCACTCGCTTCTGGTACAGCTCCTCGGCCTCTGGAAACAGCCACACAGGGAGCCTGTTAGAAACTCAGCGCAACACACTGGCAGTGTCCTGCACTGCTCCAGCCTCCTTGCACTGTCCACTTGACTTGGCACCTTGCTGGCCTCTGCCCAGCCTCTTGCTTCCAGAGCAGGAGCTTGTGATGTTTAATAACAAGCAAGAGGGAAAAATGACATGATCTGTCACAGTTTAAAAATATGTTTATATTTTAGTACACACTGTGTTTTTCCTCCCATGCTTGTCACTAAACCTTTTGCACAGTAGTTACAGGATTATGCTGAAATATGTAGCAAAGGGGATTTGAAAAGTTTTAATGCCACAATAGAAGGAAACTCATTTGTGTTGTAATCTCAACCAAGTGGATTTCACAATATACAGTATGTATAAAATACATAGTAAAAAGTGATGACAGCAAATATACTTGACTTTTAAATTTTTTATATCAATTACTAGCTACCTGCAAAAGGCACTGTAGAATGATGTGATGTTATATTCAACAAAACATGTAGCTTCCTTCTTCAATAGCTTTAAAGCTTTCCAAAACACCCTTGTTAATATTTCACAAGGTAATTTATTTGAAGTATTTCAAATTAGGACTCAGGACAGTGTTATACATTTTGAATAGCATTGTATGTACAGTAACTGAAAAAGATTATTTTGTTTTTACATTTCATGCTTTCTTCTATTTTAGGTTTACTCTTAAAATTAGACTAAGAACATCCTGCATAAGATGAAAATATCAGGTACGGTACACCACGTGGTAGTGGCGAAGTACAATTTTTAATAATTAGTTAACCTTTAGACAGCTGAGAATTTGCATGTGATTAGGATATTTTGAAATGTGTTATGTGTTATATGGCTATATCAAGTGTTGTGAACACTGGAAATTATATATTCAATTATGTATACAATCATAGTCATAAAATCTATGTGTATATAACATGTACATTCTTGTATCATGAATTTGTGTGGAGTATTCCTTCTGAAAACAGAAATTACATGTGGTGATGCTGACTAATGTTGCAAAGTTCAAATAATTAAGCTACTGAATTAGCTTTGTGAAGAGTTTAGTTTAGGTCTAAGTAGATTACAAAGGTTTTCTCCTGTTACAATGTGTAAGAGAATTGTAAAGCCTGTATTATTGACTTGTTTTATTGTTGCTTTTTATTCTATTGTAATTATTTTCTTTAAACGTTTAATTCCTATGTTCACATTGCTGAGTGACTGAAATAGTTAATCTTCTCCTTAATTAATAATTTAGCGATTAGTAAAGCTGCCCTTCAGCTTTCGTGCTCATTTTAAGTTGCTTTTCAAGGTTGACTTGCTCTAATCCTTGTAAAGGAGACACTATTTGTGAGTCATATCACTATGTGTAAGTAGTGAAAGTTAATTTATGTTTTGCTGTTTCATTATTTAATCAATCTGAAAGGATAATTACGTGCATTATGGTAATGTGTACAAAGATATCAAAAGATCCTGCTCATTGGTAGAAATTTAAAAAATAAGGGAGTGACTAAAATTCAGAGAGGTTTTATTTAATTTCAAGAGATGCAGCAGTTTCCTGTAAAGAATTACTTGAATTGAAATAAAACTGAACAATTTTGAAATAGCTGAAAAAGTCATCACAAGTTCTCAGCAGTCTGAAGGTTCTGTAAAGTAAGAATCAGAAGGTACAGAATTAACTGTACATATAATAAGGCCACAAAGCAGTCATCCTTTTCATAAATAATAACTTCAAATACCATAGCCAAACTGGTCTGCTTTTCTGTTTTACAGTACTTCATATTTTCAGCATTTGGTCTGAGTTTATTTTTTGTCAGATTAATTTGTTCCCATTTTTAGTCCCAAATCTGAACAGCACCACTTTTATCATATCAATATAATTTAGCTAAAAATATAATATAGAATATTTCTATTTCATAAAAATGATTTCTTTCAAGTTTTGGAAGATAATTCTTCAATTTTTTCATTTAGGAACAGTGTTACTGTAAGAATAGGTACCCTCTAACAAGGCTCAATGTATACTCTGTATACTGTATATACACATTACAAATTTAAAACTAACAGGCGGACTTTTTAACCCTTGCAACCTTTGAAACATGTTGGTTCAGAGAATAGATCAGTGAATATCCACTTTATTGAGGAGTGATTTAAAAATGAGCATTTGCAACAACAAAGGTCCTAAAGCGTACCTGCAAGCTCAGCTGTCGACTGCATAGAATGACGTACTGTATGTATTGTCAGAATATCTTTTTCTAAGACTGTCTTAGACAGTCAGATACTGGAGTTGCAAAAATAATGTTAAGGCGTTTACAAACTGTAGAGAGCAAAGGTAGCCAATAATACTGTTAGTGCTGCACCTTGCCAGTCCATTGAACAATCATCAGTTAAATAGATAACTGAGGAGTGCTGCCACGGTCATATCTGGGCAACTCCCAAAGCTGTTTGCAAAGGCATCAGGGTTAAAGTGTCCAAAACAGAACAAAACTTTTTCAATTTTCCAACAAACAAATATAAACAAAAACAAAAAAAAAAAACAGAATTTGAATCGTTGCTAATTTTGTAACTATTTTCGGCAGATTTTGTAAAACAACCTGTGAATGTAAATAACAGCAACAAGAAGACGAGAGATTGGACAAGGGAAAGAAGTAAAAGAAGACAAAAGCAAGAGCGGGGAGTGATGGCAGGGTCTGACAAGGTGGGTATGGCCACAGTGAGCAACGTTAACTGTTAGCCTGGCATAGCATGCTTGTTATAGAAGAGGACAGAGAGAGGGACACTGAAGAAAGCAGAAATTAAAGCAAACTGGCAAAAGATGTTCAAGACTTCCACTGAAGCACAAGAAATGTTTTTTGCTTTTCTATTAGCAGCACTCATTTTCTATTTTTCCTTTCCTCACTGAATGAGGCAAGGTACGTAAGTGTCAGGTAAAATCAGAGCTTGTCAAGGTCAATTCATGGTGCAGTTGGTGGGCTGTACATTAAAACTGTACAGTGCTTAGTAGACAGAAAAATGGACGCTTTCACTCATACTGTTTACACTGGAGGAAACATTTTAGGGAGGTGCTTGGCCTGATCTTCAAAGCAAATATTTTGGGAAATTGTATGTTTGATTTTCACAAAAATCTTTAATAATTGAAGAAACGCAGCACATCTTTCTTTGGACTAGTATAGGCTATGCTTGACTTCATCATGCATGTGCAAGATGTGCATTAGTTTCTCTCTGTGTCTGGAACCCATTATTTGCTAGTGTTTGCATAGCAGTTATTATGTCATTATATCTGTAATTAAAATAAAAAGGAGATAATTGCAGCTGTTAATCAGGTATGCACGTACGTACAATTTGACCTTGATATACTGTATACCAGAATATTTAAAACATTAACCTTTTCCATTACAGTTTGTCTTAAAACCTAAAGGGAAATTTCAATAATCTACATTTCATGGGTTAATGAGCAATCTTGAAAGTATTTTAAATTCTTTGCCTTGGGATTTTTTAAACATTCCTTGAAATGCAGCCAGGAAAACAAGGAGAATAATTTAATAACTTACCTTTCCCAATAATGTTTATGTAATATTACTAAAATACATGAATATTCACAGGAATTGAACTTAATTAACAAAATTAAGCAAGACTGTGTATGCCCTGTGCGCACTGCACATGCTACATAGGCTTTCATTCAAAATATAATTTCAGATGTCTGTTGACATCTGACTAAATTGCACTTTTAATCATCTGTCATGGCCAGATTCATGCAGGATTGTGACCTGGTGCACAGTTTGAACTGTGCTAGTCATTTTTGGACATGATAGCTCTGCTGTATGCTCTCTGGAAAAATGCAGATGTCTTAATCATGCAAATTGCGGAACACAGCTATCTCCCTTTCTTCCAAATCTGACGTGGGTTCTGTTGTACACTTTTTGTCAGTTTCATATAATTATCATTAGTGGGAATGTAAAACAAAACAGCTAATCTGCAAATCTGCAAAAGAGAGAGAACATTTTTCATCAGCTGTCGTCATACTGTACATGTGACAGCATTGCTCTTGGTGAAGACACCAATTCCGAGAAGTCTTCTGCACCACATGTGTGGCAGCCACTGAAAAGGGTCTGCTTGAAGGTGCATCTGCAGCGTTTTTCCAAGCATGAGGAAATAATTTAATTTTAGTGGGAAAATTGTTTACTTTTACAACGAAAGATGTTCAAATGTTATTGCTGCCACTCTGTTTTGTTTCCAGGGATTCCCACACATGGTTTACCTAACAAAAAGTTTCTGTGCAATTGCACTTCATCTCAGGGACACCTGGCTCCCTGAGTGAACCAGCCTTGGTCTCAGAGTTGTTTGCCATCAAAGTTGTTTATCTCATTGCAATGTTTGGAGAAATATTATGACCTGAGGGGCATTAGGGATCTTCAGCCAAGATAACTCCTCTTCTTCCCCAAGTGTAAACACTCACTCCAAGGTTAAAAACATTGACTCATACACCCACATCTGCAGGAGACACACAGGTTGAGGCTCTGATGCAACTGATTTCAAGTCAGAATAACGCAATATTTTTTATATTGACGTAAATCTGGACAATGACTGTGTCCAGCTGGACTTGCTCACAATGAGTGCTGCAAAATGAAAAAAATGAAGCTCTTACAGTTGTAAGGAGAGTTGGAGCTACAGTGTAAGTAGGAGAAACCTATCTAGTCAGCTAGCTTATGTAGTGATAGAAAGATTAATTGATTTAGCGCTTCATTTTAGATCAACCATTCAAAGGAAAGTGAAGGAGTGTGCTACAAATTCTAGGCAGCTTTTTAATTTCTAAATTAAAATGAATGATTGTTCCATACCCATAAATTCAATTCCAAGATGCTCTGCCAATGCAGAAAGTTGACAAAAAAAGAAAAAAGAAAACAGTTTCAGAAAGAGTACTTCCAACATACAAAAATATACGTGTCATGTGATTGGTGCGATTTCTTTTGATACATAATGTGGCATGTGTAAGTAACAATGACACGTAAAACATTGCTAACAAAAGCACCACTAAGTCCTAAAACAAGCATCACAGTGATGAACAAGCATGAACACATGCAGAACAAGACAGCCACATAGATCACTGCCATCATAACTCCATCTTATTTCTGCATTAATACTACAGGGCAAAGATAAGTCGCAGTTCGTTTAACAAATATTACTATAGGTATGATTACTAAACAGAACAGCTTAAAAACATATTAGAGGTGTAAATGTAATTCCTTTACTTATATTTACTGTAGGTCAAAGTTAAATGATAACTGTTGAGGCAGGCTGTTGGACATGAACAGCTAGGTATTTTATTACTGTATGTTTAGATCTTGCTAGTATACTACCTATGCAAACTGTCTACATGTTTACTTGCACATTGTCTATTGTTTGTACATTGTCTTGATGCACTGTTTGCACTTTGTCTTGTTTCTTACACTTGTTTTACAATCGAGAGACTTTCTGTAAGTAAGAATTCCATTGTACCAGTACCGGTTACATATGGCAATAAAGTTCAAGTTCAAGTTCAAGGATATTGCCACTTTTCTGTTACACTACTTTATATCAACCTTTTTTTTGCTAAAACATATTCCTATTCATCTATCCAGATGTCAGAAAGCAGCTTGTTCCTGGTAGGGGTGCAAAAACCCAGAGTCTATCCCAGAAGCAGAAGGACAAGGCAGGACGCACAATCCTCTACAGGACACACACACAAGGACAATATAGGAACAACAGCTAATCCAGCCAATGTGTCTTAGGGTGTCAGGAGGAAACTGGAATACATGGAGAAAACTTACTTTGACATAGTGAGAACATGTCTGGAATTTAACCTAGGAGCCCAAAGTTGTGAGGTAGTGGTACCAACCGGTATGCCACTGTGCTGCTACCCATCCCATACTGTCCTTTAAACTATTTTACAGTTTATTAATCAAAGACATTTGATTTTTCATAATTCTAATATGTTGCTTCCAAGAATATTGCAGTCCAGAATGTGCTCTTAGCTCCACATGTAACCCTCCTGTCCTGTCTCTGTGGATCTGCTAAGCAGTTCCCCAAAGACCCAAAGAAAGTTTCTAGAACTCTTCTGTTTAGCTCAGTAGACTTTTGCTGCCCCTATCTTGAAATATTTCACTGAATCTGTGGTATTTATCAAGCCATGGGTATATGTATTTTTAAGACAAGCGTTTCTGTGCTTTTTGGGTGCAAAGGTTTACACACGTGTTATCTGTTGGCTGAGAGCAGGAGATGTGACACGGAATTAAGGACATGACAGAGCCAGTCACACAACCGGCAGTCTGTCATAGAGAGATGTGTTCACAGCTCTGCGCTCTTGTTTTTGCGTGTGCCAGGCATTTCTGCTGGTCCTCATTCAAGAACCTGGAGATAAAGTAACATGGGCCCCTAAACACACATGAAGATACATGTTACAATTCCAGCAATGCAATTGGAAGTTTATATCTTTGAATTTGGTTCTGCTTCCAGGTCTAGAGGCCATCAGTGGTCTTCTAAAACCTGCCTGGGATGTCTTTGCACCTCGACATGTACAACAGGCACCCTGAAATCTGGCATGCCATTGTCGCAAGACCATGGCAACTCCAAAATCCCACAAAAGGCCAAGTTTGTTATTTTAATGCTGTAGCAGTAAATATCTTACTGACTTCTGGGGATGGGTGGTGATGACAGGACAGAAAATAGACCTTTAAAATACGGGAACAATTTGGACATGACATTTGGTATTTTTAAATATGTATATTTTTTTCAAAATATTTCAACTCAAATAAAAAGGTTCTTAGTGGGTATGGTTCTCCTCAATAATGAAACATAATTATTTTCAGATGACTTATGGTTTAGCTGTAATTTCAGAAGCCTGGGATTAAGGGTTTTTGCCAACCCTGTGTAAAAACTCTGCCTTGGTCACTGAATTGGGCTACAGATTTTTCTCATCATTCCCAATGGGTGCACAGCAATATTCAGCCCTCGTTTCTCTGACACATGAGCCAGAGACTTTGTGGATCCGTTTCGTGCCAGAGGAGTCAACATGTGAAGACTCAGAAGCAAACAGCTAATAAAAGTAGATGTTAATATTTACATTTTTACATATTTGTTTTCTTCTCCTTTCAAAGTAAAGATGCAAAACTGAAAATACGTCCACAGCTGTGAGAGATGGGCTAATCAGGTAACAGACTGTTTCCCACACCTCTGCCTGACAAATCCCACTCCTCCAGGTTTTTAATCCTTCCTGCCGTCCATTTCTTTTAGAAGTATAATTTAATGTCCTCACACATTTTGACATGTATGACTTTGTAAGCAATTTACAGCAGTGCAGAATTTAATATAAATGACAGAGAACTGGCTGAATCAAATACTGAACTAAGAGAAGCATTAAGCATTAAGGGGCACCCAAGCACAGGACTGACAAACACAAAGGCACAGATTGATAGTGCCAGTTCAAATATAAAGGTACTTCTTTACATATTCATTTATATCTACTAAGAAACAGATTGTTAATACTTAAAGACAGAACTGACCTTGTATGGCCTAATCAAGATGACACTCTATTAGAGATTGGGGATCTAACTATCATGTGCCCAAGCTGCACCACAAGGCTCCAAGACCATAGATCTTTTAAAATCACAGCGCATGACCTACTGTTCGCTTTTACTTTTTATTTTTTCTGCTTTAATTCCTGTCCAACTTTATTTTTCTATATAATTTTATTGTTTTCAAGTATGTTTAATGGACAATATTTTCAGATTTGCAAAAGGTGCTACATGCAGTACAATAAAGTACAATAAAGGTTATTATTTCATGATTACTAAAGGAACTGAAGGGACTTTGTGTACTTGTTTGGGTAAAGAGGGTGTGTCTGAAGGCCTTGGATTTTTTTAGAGCTTGAAATTTGCGAATTATGTCTCTTTCAGCAAGTTTCACTGCAGGAGCCAACATTTTGTCCTGAGTTTCAACTTATTTTCATCTATGGTAAATATGAGAAGGACAGGCAGGCTGTTTTAAGCATTAATATCATTACTCTTTGTGTAACATGCACAGTTACACAAAATAAAAAATCATTTTAAAGCAAACACAAAAATACAGTGCAATGGACTTCCTAAGCAGAGTACCATAATTGTCTTGTGGTAAGAAAGTAAGATAATGTCTTTCTAAATGGGTGTGCAAGTAGTAATAAGGGACCTTTCAAAAGGCCTCATACTGTAGCTTTTAATTGGAGGATAAAAACTAGGTTTAAAAATCAGGGTCCTAGCTCTGAAACTAGCAAACAAAGTAAAGAAAGGGTCTGTTTGTCACATAAGTTTGCGTTCTAATGTTTAAAACTTTTTACTTTACTGTCATGTAGCTTTTCCTTTTAAACGTGAAATGACACGTTGTTCAAAGTTGTTTTAATATTTAAATTTAAACGATTTCACATTCAGAGAGTTAAACTAAATTTGTGTTGCAGAGAGTCAAACAGAAATTGGATTTACAGTAGCAACATGTAAATTTAGGACCTGTAAACCTCTGATGTAAACGTGATGCTCGTTTAATTTGCTATTTGCAAAAGTGCTATGGTTCAGAGAAATAAACGTTGGTGTTTTTTCCAGGTTTGTGTCATTGTGCAAAGACAAGACACAAGACATGCCATCATACATGCTAAGAAAATAATAATTTAATTTTATTTACAGGTATGGATATATAATTTAGAGTATACACTGTTTACAAAAACTCTGTGATAAGTAATTTTAAAACAGTTTGGTGGGGACCTGTGGGGGTTGTATTTTAATCTTTCATTTATGTGATGGCATTTGTTCTACAAGAAAAAGGATGACATTTTTTTTAGTATAAACCAAAATATTGGTTTGTAAATGGTTTGGCTTTGTAGTATCAGTGGTGTGTGCAGTATATAGTGAAACAGCATGAGTAGGCATGAAAAAGAACAAAAAAACTATTTAGATTAAATTCACAACTGGGCAAACACCTGGCAGAAACATTTAATGTAGACAAGTGCAGTGTATAGCAGTAAAAATAAACTATAAATACAAAATAGAAAACAATGTGATTGAACAGGCTACTTATGAGAGAGATTTAGATGTTTAGGTTGACAATGTGGGGAAACATTAAAAGACAAAGAAAATGTCAGGATATATAGTCAAAAGTGTGTAATTTAAATTAAGGGATGTGACGGTAAAATTGCATAAAGCACTAGTAAGGCTTCCTTTAGGATACTGTAATCGATTTTGGTCACCATGTTACAGAAAAGAGATCAGAAAAGACCAAAAAAGACCAACCAGGTCCTTTCCTACACAGGCTGTAGGACCTGAACCTTTTTAGCCTTGAACAAAGAAGAATAAAAGGGCACCTGAAAGGATCAAGCTGTTCAAATCAATGCTAACTCCGCTGCATGTACACTGGGACTCACAGTAGACAAAATGACAGATGATCCTGACAGTGTGTTTTGAAGATCACAGTTTTGGGTTGATACTGGGATCATAGAGGTAATTGGTTGAGTACCAGTTGGTGATTCCAAACTTTAAAAAAGAGAAAAGTATAAACCCATTCCCCATGTTTTAATTTATTTTAGAAATATAAAAGTTCAGAAACTTTTCCTGAATTCTACCTCAGTTATTCCCTTGAGACAATTATTCATTGTAATGCACTATTTAGAGAATAGCAGGGCATACTGCTCTATTTAGAGAATGGCAGGACATTTTGAATAAGGGTTAAAAACTAGGACATGCCATCTAGAGCCTCAAAGGCTGGAGATGAGAAATGCGAATAAGTGACCGTGGCACCAAGAAAAGAAAAACTAAATAGAGAATGAGTATCCGTAATCATTCATCACAAAGAAATGGTATTTGCA